GGCAACTAGTCTTATCCTTTTAGAGTTGAAATGCATAGATATAACCTAAGTTTTATGCTAACAGTTTTTTCTCTTGCACTTCTTACTTGTAGAACTTTCTTCCAGCTTCTTGCTTTTCAATCAACTTTGATCTTCAGAAATTTAAATGCAATGTCAATTGTTATCTTCTGTCTTCTTAATTCCTGCTCTTTTATTATTCTCTCTCCTTAATAAGGTTTTCTTTTCTTATACAACACACAGAAACATCTTGTGTCTTAGTGCCTTGGGGGTGGGGAGAATAATATTAAACTTTATTAATATAAAAATTGCTTTCAGCACATTTTGTTATATTTGATTTTCTTTCATGAAATGGTGCAAATTTTGATAATTATACCGTTTATATTTTTGCAATTTCAGATGGCCACTTTTTAAAGATCAAAATCAAACCTTCCTATTTGATGATTACATCTGACTTAAAACCAAACATTATATAATGTGAAGAGAAACAACTGTGTTATTTTTTGATAATCCTTATCTCTTCAGAATTATTTTTTGTCTCACTGACGAAAAAGTTATCACTAAAAATTCATTATATTTTTAAAAAAAAAATAAAAGAAACAATTTGTTTTCAATTACATCTGTTATATTTCGAAATCAAGAACTACACAAAAGAAGGAGTATTTCATAATCGTGATCCCTTTTGAAAATGGCATCAGTTGATGAAAACACGTTAATTTTTCTTAAAATTGATGACAGCACCTGGGAGAATGTGGAAATGAGCCTCTGGTTCTCCATGGTTGTAGTTCTTGCAGTGACATTGTTTATCTTATGGAAGAGGAAAGATGAAAACTATCCACCCGGTCCTTTCTCATGGCCTTTAATTGGAAACACTCAGTTGAATAAGGCTCACATTCAGTTTACTAATTTGAGAGTAAAGTATGGTGACACTCTTAGTGTCACAATCGGACGTCAGAAGGTGATCGTCCTCTGTTCACTTGATGGAATTTTGGAATGCCTTCATTATAATGGAGCTGCTTTTGCAAACAGACCAAATTGTCCAGTATTGCGATCACTCTATAAGAACGAGGATAAAAATAAAGGTAAATTTATTTAATTATTCTTTTCATAACTAAATATGAATACCCAAGTTATGGCATTATTATTTGCTTGGGTCATAAATAATTTTCGTTTATGGAAACCAATTGTAATGATGAATGTGGAATCCTTCGGATAAGCAGTGTTAAATATTCACTTAACAGCATAATTGTCATTTTATATCTTTAAATATTTTTTAGATTTTAAATATCACCATGGCCTATGGCACCCTGACCATTGGGTATATGATAGTATTGAACAGGATTCAGGAAAGTGTTTCATAGTTGAGGTGATGGATCGGTGAGCTGTGTTTCTGAAATATGCAATTGGGCAGTATATTCATCCTGGAACTCATATTGCTTCAGATGACTGCGCTACTTATTCTGGAATAAAGGAAATCAACAATGGTATCATTATTCATCAGCAGTTTTATGTGGATCCTGTGGTACAGGAAAAGTTCTGTGCTTTCAGCATTTATTTGCTGCGTAGTCCATCATTACCTGTTGTAATAATGTTTAATTGTAATAAACGTATATACCTAGGCCTTATTGATTTTACACTGTTCAGGAAATAGCAGTATATTTTGTACCACTTAAGGATTACCAATGAATGTATCATTCTAATTACTAACTATACATAAGAAAAATGTTAAACAATTTGTGACAAACTTGGACCTCTGAGTGTCAAAAGGACGATTTTTCCATTGACAATTAATGATTTAACTACATTTGACTACATTCACTCCTTGGCAAGGTTTATTGTTACAATAACAGTCCTGTGCTTTCAGCATTTATTTGCTGCATAGTCCATCTTTACCTGTTGCAATAATGTTTAATTGTAATAAATTTATATACCTTTGTCTTATTGATTTTATACTGTTCAGGAAAAAGCCATTTATTTTGTATCAATTAAGTGAAGGATTACTAATGAATGTATCATCCTAACAACACAAAGATGTTCAACACAAAATGTCAAACTTGGATTTTCATGCCAGCAAATAAACGTGGTGTCAAAAGAACAGTTTTTCCCATTGATACTGCTATTATATTAATTATCTTCACTCTTTGTCAAAGTTTATTTTTTAAAAAGTGATGATTAAAATTGTAATAAAACCTAAACATTTGATGATAGTGACTTTATAATTATTTTCTTTTTGGAGAATTTGCACAAAAACATTAATCACTATTGCATCGAGCAAGAAGAATATAGGAAAAAATTTGTTAACTTGGTTAGTCTGTTCTATCTCACTTGTCATATACACCTAACCTTATGCCAACTAATTTGTGATGAGTATGAAATAATAATAAGAACTCCCTTTACCCACTTCCTTCAAATATAGGTGAGCTGAATAAAAATTTGCAAGCCTATATGAAATTTTCGTTGGACTAATGAAAAGCTTGTCTTCACGGAAATTAGCCATTGAGCCTAGAAAAAAAAAGAAAAGGAAATAGCTAACATATGCAAAATCCTTTTTGATATAAAATAAGGAAAAAAATTAAATTAACTAGAGAAGAGTGTCTGAGTCATGTGAATAGTTTCATTTCTCTTCACTTGTCCAGCTTGAAATTTTCTCCAGTGTCAAATTACTCACCAATTATATTATCAGCCTTTTAACCAAGCACTTAACACTTCAAAGAAATTTATTCCAAAAATCCAAGAAATCTAACTCTCTTCATCTACTTCTGAATGTATGTAACCGTCTACTTTTGAATGTAGGCAACAAACATTTTTGCCTTTTTTTAAAACATTTTTTAATATTATTTCATGTCAGATCATTTAATTTGTATGAACACTTCCTTTTCATGACAATTTATTGAAACTGTGATCTTTAAAGATTTCCTGAAACTGGTTACTGACATAACTTCAAGTGTGTAAATTCATAATGCCTTATCTTGTTTTGTTAAAATTCATCCATGTACTTCCTCATAACTATCAGTCTCCATGAACCTTCTCGGCACATGTAAACCAACTGTTCATTTTAACACTATAGTTCCACACTACTGTAAATTATTGCTTTTTTCGATTGCTGCAAAATGTTTGACCACATAGACTTTCTCTAATTAAAAACATATTCAAGAGATTATGGAAAAGTTTTTGACATCAAAACCTGCGGAATTTTTCTGTAAATTTAATGACAAGTTTTGTGTGATAATCAGTAAAGGTACTAGTAAATTATTAGCCCTGTTATAAATGACTTACAATGTACATGCTATGAAGAAAATGCTTTTGAGTGGTTCAGGCTGTTCAAGACAGGGGTAGTAGATGTGCATGCTGACACAAGAAGTGTGCAGCCAAAGATATGAAGAACAGCTCTTAATGTAGACTGACTGTTGATCTTGGTGTTTGCCAATTGAAGATTAACTGTTTGACTGATAGCAGAAGAATTGAATAGGAATAGGAAAATGGTAAATATTTTCTATGTTTCTAAAATAACAAGGTATTAATTACAGATTTATAAAAGTCAGTTATTAATTTATAGAAACTTCTTATTAATTGTAGGATTTTACCATGAATTAGACCATGTTATAGGTTTCTACCCATTGATGCTCACTATCCCAAACTGAGATGGTGAGCATTTATGTGTTTTAATCATGATGATTAAGTAGAGAACAATGTGTAGTCATATGGATGACATCCATAAAAGATGAGCTCCTGTGATGTAGAGTTTGAGTTTGAATCATGTCAGACACTAAAACTATTTATTTCCACTCTTTACCATAGCAGTTGAAGAGTATTCACTCAGAGTGTAATGAAGAATATATAGTAGAACATGTTCTAAAATCAAGATTCACCATTGTAATGGAAAGTATTCTAAAATGTAGATTCAGAAATATAGTAGAACATGTTCTAGAATAGAGGTACACAAATATAGTGGAACATGTTCTAAAATCAATGTTTTATAGTAGAAAGTGTTCTAAAACTAAGATTCAGTAAAGAAGTGGAAAGTATGCTAAAATGAAGATTAAGAAATATAGTAGAAAATGTTCTAAAATGGAAGTTCACCAATATAGTTGAAAGTGTTCTAAAATCAATGTTTTATAGTAGCTAGTGTTCTAAAACTAAGATTCAGTAAATAAGTGGAAATTCCCCTAAAATCAAGATACAGAAATATAGTAGAAAGTATTGTAAATAAAGGTACCCCAATGTAGTGGAAAGGTTTTAAAACCAATGTTTAGTAATAGAGTAGTCAGTCAGTTATGTGCCATGTGTGATACACACTTGGATGCTCATGTATCTTTCGATACATGACTGACGAGGCAGTTTTTTTTTTCCCACAGTAGTTTGCCATTTCTTTCTGCAGTTAACCAGTTCCCATCCAAAGCTATAGAACCCTGCTATTTACCCATAACAGTGGTTGAGAATAGGATTCATACTTTTCCCAAGAGTGTTGGCATGTAATTGAATGTAACAGATTCGACTGGAATTCGAACTCGGCTCTCTGATTCATCAATCCGATCTGCTATCCATTACTCCACCATGCCTCCCTAGAGTATCACATTTTCTAAAATCAAGAAGCTATAGGATATGTATCTGAATTGTGTTAGAAACTATTTCTTTATTTTTGACATTACAGACTTTACCTTAACAGTTGATGAGTTTCCATTCAGAGGGTAATGATAAAGAGTAACAATAATAAAGGACCAAAACTCATGATAAAATAATAATGATGAAAATGAGTTACCTAACTGATAACATTTTTTATATGAATACTTTATATTTCAGGTCTTATAACAGCCGACTATGATGACAAACTGGAACAAAAACGAAATTTTCTTCTTGACTGTTTAGTTGGAGGTACCTATGCCTTTGAAGATGATATGGAGGTGAGAATCACAGGAGAAGTCCAAGACATAGTGAAGAAATTTTTGAAGGAGAGCAAACCATTCAATCCCATGCTGCATTTTATCCCATCATGCCTTAATATGATGCTATCCCTCATTTTCAGCCAGTGGCATCGCAACGATGAGAAGGACACTAACTTCCAAGAAATACTCAAGTCATTATGTCTGCGAGCACAATGCCTCAAGCAGACTTTTCCTGATGTTATACCAATGCCATCCTTTCTGCAAAAGATTCGCTTCAAGAGTGTTTGGGAAAGGATGCGCTTGCAAAGGGACTATCAACGAAAACTGATCAATTTTCATAAGGACACTTTTGATCCATACATGATTCGGGACCTGACAGATCAGCTCATGATGTACGTGGAAAATGGCGATGACAAAGGTTTGTTTGCCAGTGATGACATGGAGAACTTACTGCTTGAAATATCTGGAAGTGGTTTTGAAGAAACAGCTATTACACTTACTTGGTTGTTGGGTTACATGGCAATGTACCCTGCTGTACAAGGTCAGGTGCAGAAAGAACTTGATTATGTGGTGGGACGTGACAAAGATCCATGTTTGGATGACCAGGCATTATTGCCCTATACTGTGGCAACTATTTGTGAGGCCCAACGTATGGCTACTGTCATGCCTTTTCTTTACCCTCACCAAGCTGTCAAGAAAAGTATGCTTCAAGGTAATGTTGTATATTAATTAAATTTTGCCAAATTATTCACAGTATATCAATACATTCCAATTTGAAATAAAAAATGTTTTCCAAATTTATTCCAAAATTATGAAATCTACTTTTTTTTGCAAAAGAGAATATGATTCATGTAAAATACAATTTTTTAAATCAACATTCACCAATTTAGTGGAAAGTGTTCTAAAATCTATGTTTAGTAACATAAAAGAAAGTGTTTTAAAATCAAGGTTCACCAATGTAGTGAATAGTGTTAAAAAGTCAGTTTTTAGTAACATAGTGGAAAGTGTTCTAAAATCAAGGCTCACCAATGTGGTAAATAGTGTTCTAAAATCAATGTTTGGTAACATAGCAGAAAGTGTTCAAAAATTTAGTTTCACCAATGTAGTGTTCTAAAATCAATGTTTAGTAACAAACTAAAAGTTGCTTTAGAATTTAAGTTCACCAATGTAGTGGAATGTATACTAAAATCAATGCTTATTAGCATAGTAGAAATTTTTCTAAAATCTCAGTTCACTAATGTAGCGAAAGTGTTCTAAAATCAATGCTTAGTAACATAATAGAAAGTCTTCTAAAATTTAGGTTCACTAATGTAGTGGAAAGTGTTCTAAAATCAAGTCTCATCAATCTAGTTACTTTATTGTTGTATCTGCTTGCTTACATTTGATGGGTAGTTGGAAGATATATATATATATATATAAAATGGCTTGTGAAGTGAAAATATAAGCACTATATGCAACACAGATAACTTGTTTTAGACAAGTCAATATTTTAAACTAAACAAATAAGGTAACCAATCTGTAAAAGTAGAATAAACAAAAAATCTAAATAATTTAACTAAATAATGAACAAAATTCAAATAAACATGAGTAAATGTAATAACAATCATAATCAACAAATAATTAAGTAATCCATAATAAATAATGAGTTAACAAACAAAACTATATAATATCTACAAAAATTCATTCAGAAATACAATTATCTCTACCCAATAACATCTAAATAATTTGAAACATAACTGTTACTGCACACCTCATAACCATCAGGATAACACAATAGGTCTTAATAAATTGCCAACATAAATACAGATGGCCTGAAGATTGTGTTCAAGCATGAAACAGACTCTTGTTGACTGATGCTATCCCTGATATTGAGCACTTTTCCCATAAGTATAGCATACCTTAAAACTATATTTATAACACACACACATATATATATATATATATATATATATGTATGTGTGTGTGTGTGTATGTATATATATATTTTCTTAATATATATATATATATATATATATATATATATATATATATATATATATATATATATATAAAAAATATAGTCTTAAGGTGTGCTATATTTATGGGATAAAAAGTGCTCAATATCAGAGATAGAGCGTGAATAATATAAAAGTGAACATAGAAGTCAACACATATTTATATATATATATATATATATATATATATATATATATATATATATATATATATATATATATGTCTATATTTCTGAGATGAGTTATTATGTACACTATTTACTTTGTTTGGACTATCATTGTCATCTTTGTTGCCATATTTATCCCGTTTCTTCTGGGTCTTTTTTTTTTTTTACTTTATACTTGATCATTTATTTTTCATTTTTTCCTTTCTTCTTATTTCAGACTGTAACTGATTTGATCTGTGTTTGTTCTGTTGCTAGAGATGTGACCAATTTTTATTTTTACTTATTTTTAATTATGGGCATTCTGGTTTTTTTTTTCACTAAGGAAGTTGTATTTCATTTTTTATGTATTAATTTTTTTACTAATGTTCACCCAAGAACCACTCAATGTAAAGGGCCATGTGTCAAGCAAATAATACTGTCTGAGCATATCTGAACAAGTTTAATCATCTACTTTCTCATGATACATATGAGATTAGTCATTCATTATCAAGCAGTAGAGCAAGTATGTTTTCATGTTACAATACTGGCAGAAAATGAACAAAGGAAATCTGATTCAGTAAATTAATTTCATGGATTGTATGAGGATTGGCAAGAGTGCTTGTAAAACAGTGAACCTTTTAAATGTGTATTATGGATTTATTCATGAATAATAACTATATTTCCTTTGGTTTTTATAATAACATCTGACAGCAAAATAAATGTCCATTATCAATACTTCTAATAAGGATTGATATTATATCCCAAATATCACAAAATATAGTGCCATTGTAATGGTGTGATTAGTAGTTGGGTTGATCAAATATATAAATGCGGCTGCGTGTTTCAAGATAAGCAACATCCATACATTAAATTTAAACATCAAGGAAAAAAATCAAGCTCAGTGAACATTAATAATATATTGTATTAACAATGGTATACAAATTTCAACAATAAGTATAAAGAAAGTTGCTTCCCTTTTTCTGTAATAAAAAAGGGTAAGTTTAGCTAATAAATGTTGAGTACAAAATTGAATGTAATTTAACTACAAAGTTCAATTGAAGTCTTAGCTAAATACAGAATAGTTCCACAGTGTTTTATCAGTGTAGAAAGATGTAATGTTCATGATTGATATCAACAGGAATTAGTATGATTACTCGAATTAGTAATAATTAAGAATTAAAATGTCAATATAGCGCCGTGCCTTATTTTCCAAGAATTGAACTGCTACTGGTCTTTTGGTTGATAGCGAGATTCTCTTTATAACAATGGGTAGGCTCCAGATAGCTTGGCGCCAAAAATATAGAAAAGATACTAAAATACGTGATTGATCAGGAAATGGACCAATCCGTGATTTTAGAGAAAAATTTGAATTACTTGCGATGGTTAAATTGTTCTATAATAAGTATCATGTATTCATTAACCAATGAGAATTGGAGAAAATGTAGGCGTGGCACTACACCATCATAAATATAATCATTATCTAATTTTTTATCAACATAAGTTATTTAAGACCAGTTACATTTTGAAATTACTGACCTTTTATTAAAATCTGATATAGTGTGTCATATGGACAAAAGAAATAAAAATGAGTTAAATAGTCTGAAAAATGTTTGCAATTTTAATGAGATTTTTCAAAATTAATTCAAAATAAATTTATTTTATTTCCAGGTTATGATATCCCAAAAGATACTTGGGTTTTGTGCAATGTCTGGAGCATTCATTATGATGCAAAATACTGGAAAAATCCTAAAAAATTTGATCCAACCAGGTAATACCAAAGAAGTTTTCTGATCAAATTTAAATGTTTTTTTGAGTGAAAATCATAAAATCTTTCCTATTTCCAAGTAACCCATTTTTATACTCAACCAATGGTCTCTTTTCCAATTTTATTATTTTTTACAAAAGTAATTTTAAAATGAATTTATATAATTATTAATAAAAAATTGAGAAAATCAGACGAAATTATTCGTACAGCCATCAATTTTGAATATTTTTATCCATTTCTCAGAATCTAATGCACATATAATGCCAGGTTTTTTATATGTTAATAAGCACAAAAAAAAAAAAAAACGGAATAGAAAACTCATTTTCCAGAACAATAGGTCAAATACAACATATTTAAAAGGTGAATTATGCAAAATAGGAAAAGACAAAATTATTCTTACAGTAGAAATGTTTTAAATTGATTGATACTTGTAAGGATAAGTAATTTACATAATTATTTTATAGAGTGTCACCATTGTTATTCTTACATGAACAAGACATTGAGGAAGACAAAGGAGAGTAATATTAACTTTCACAAGTCAGGAAATAGTTACAGAACTATGTCAAACTGGTTAGCTATCCCTGGATCTACGGTACAGTCTGTTATAAAGAAGATTAAACAGTTTGGCATGACAGAGAATTTCCCTGAAGATAGAAGAAAACCCAAATTGTCACTGAAAACTGCATGAAAACTGTGTTTCAAGGTTAATATAAACCCAGGACAAATGTTTAGATATGATGGGTATCAACGTAAATACTCGCATGATAAAACATTGTTTAAATAGAAATGGGTTGTATGGAAACCAACCACAACGAACCTCTCTTCACAAAGCGTGTCACATTGTTGCTCAGTTCAATTTTGCCAAAATGTTCTTGGACCAAAAAAATTGCTTTTGGGAACAAGATCTATGAGTATTGAAACAAAAATTAAGCTTTTTGGACATCACGATGTACAGAAGATTTGGCACAAGAAAAATGTGGCTTCCTCCCCCAAAAAAATAGTGGCAACATTAAAACATGGAGGCATCTTGATAATGCTTTGGGTTTTTTTCACCTTAAGGAGGACTGGACAATTAATTGCAACAAGAAGAATAATGAAATCTGCAAACTATCAAAATGCTGGATGAAAATCTACAACTACCAGTGCAAAATCTTCATCTAGGTCAGTGATTTAATTTACAGCCAGATAATGATCCCAAGCTTATGTCTAAATCAGTGACTGCATGGCTTCAGAAAAAGATTACAGTTCTGACATGGCCGTCAATGAGTCATGACTTGAATCCTATTGAAAATCAATGGCAAGAATTGAAAGTTCGACTAAATCATTGGTCACTAGAAATATCTTCAGAAATTAGAATGTGTAACCATTGAAGAATGGAAGAAAATCCCAGAAAAGACTTGTTCAAATCTCATCAAAAACTTTAGAAAACGATTGCAACAAGTTATAATGATGAGAGGCTACACTACTTTTTATTAATATTGTGAAAATTGTTAATTTTTTTCTATTTTTCATACAGTATGAATAATTTTGTTTTTTTATTATTTTGCAGAATTTGCCTGTCAAACTTATTGTATTTACCCTATTGTTCTGAAAATTGAGATTTATATTCTTTTTTTGTGCTTATAAAATACCTAGCATCATATGGGCATTAGTTTCTGAGAAATGGATAAAAATATTCAAAATTGATGGGTGTACAAATAATTTTGTTGTTGACTGCATCTAACTCACTATAGCAATTTCTAAAGAAGTAATCAATTTTTATTTATTAATCTGACAGCTTTTGTTACTTTAACTTTATTTTTAGTGGATTTGACTAGACCCTCTGTTTATTTATTAAGCACTATATTTATTTTTGTTTACCTGCCTGAATATTCAAGAAATCTTATTAAGAAAAATATGTACTATCCAGCAGGATGTATAAAAATGTATAACATGAAAATATTAAATGAAATGCATTTTTTAGTTAAAAATTGCTTAATAAATTACATGTTATCTTAATATCTTCATATACATCACTTGAAGTTTTGTTTTTAATTCCGTCCATCCAGCAAAAATATTGACTTAAATTTTATTTTTGACTTAAATATATAAAATTAATCTCCATTAATCTCATTTCATTCTCCTCTGCAGAAAATTTTATAATGAGATTTAGTATCATTCAAAATTGTTTAGATGTAATCCATCTAAAAGTCAATCATGCAGAAAAAATTATTGATTTGCTGGTTGTTTTTAAATTTAGATTTAAAATATTGCCATATTTTACTGAATTTTGGGGAATATGCAAATATTGCCTTACATAGATAAAATGCTGGAATCAAAACTGTAATGTGTTTTAAAATGCTGAGAAAAGAGAATTATTAACATAGCAATTTCAGTAACACTTTATTTTGTATGTATTTTGTTGCTATGATAGGTTTTATAATTCCCATCATTATGATCTGCTATAATGATCTTTATACTTCATAAACACTGACTAAAAATGGGTTCTAGGAAATGAACTTGTAGATTTTAGAGAAAAAACATCCTTCATCAAACCTCATGGACTGATACTAGAGAAGCCCAAAGAAATTTACCAAATAACAGGAGCCATATCACTGAAGGACTTTCAGCAGCAGTAACAACTTAAATGAATAGCAGATATATCTTGAAGAGAAAATAATTACATAATCATGATACTACATAGTACTTCAAAGAAAATGTTAGAAAGGAAGCTCTCATCAAAACTAGAAAATGGGATAACAAATAGTGACCTTGAGGATTCTATTTTCCTAAAAAACTGTTTTAATAGAAAAATTTTATAAATTTCAATTAGTGTTCCAATTAACAGATATTTGGTTGGTGGATGACAAATTAATATTTCTGTATGAGGAATGGCTTATATTACCATTATTGTTACCTATCTATTTCTCTCTCTTTCTCTCTCTCTCTATATATATATATATATATATATATATATATATATATATATATATATATATATATATATATATATATATGCATGTTATGCACACACATATGTGCGATGGATAAATTGTCGCCATTTTATATTTTTATTTTCACACCCGCACATTATTTGATTTTGATTTTGTCAACTACACAGTATAGTAGATTCATTTGGGCATCATCTGCGAGAAAAAGACCATCACGACACAATTCACTCCACCAGAAATTTGGAAACAGCATCTTGTACTGCTTGGCATTCATGCCAGAAGCTCCAATACAAACATTTCCGTGTGTTTGGGTGTCAATCTCAGGAGAGTGCAGAGGATTCAGAAAGAGTTTGGATGAGTCTAATGGTAATTACACAAGTGTTTGGAGTGATCACAAGTGATGACAACATTATACCTCCATTCATCTTCCAACAGGGCCTCAGACCCAACCCTGAGGCTTACATCAAGTGCGTTTTGGGGGTAGTGCTGTCCTGGGTCAAGAAGTTGGCTGGATCCTATATTTGACAACAAGACTCTGTAACAAGCCACACAAGCCGGAGAACCCAGTCATGGCTTTCAGACAATTTATGCAACCATATCACCACTTACATCTCACCACCTAACTCCCCAGGCTAAAACTCTCTTCATTATTATGTATGTGGCGCAGTTGAGCAAGAGACCAACAAAACTCCTTATATCACCAAAGATGTACTGAAGGTAAGGATTATGGCAGCATTCACCAACTTAAACAAGGAGGACATTCAGAAGAGTTGCAGGAGATTCCAAAGTTGTCTGGAGGCTGTGGTTCAAGCCAATGGCTATTTTATTAAATTAATTAACTCTTTAGTATTTCAAGATATTTTTGTGTAATTTTGGTAAATATATTTGTTAAAATGAAGTATCAGTGTTATTTTAATTTTTGCATAATTTAGACAAAATCTATCCATCATGCCCTGTATACATACACATATATATATATATATATATATATATATATATATATATATATATATATATATATATATATATATATATATATATATATATATATATATATATATATATATATATATATATATATATATATATATATATATATATATATATGTATGTATGTATGTATGTATGTATGTATGTATGTATGTATGTATATGTGCAGGTATGCAGAAAATAGAAAATAACACGTTGGGTGCATAATCTGGAGTTCTTAAGTATTTTTTGTTTTTATTTTTAAGAAGACAGTGCTCCATACAGAAGTAGAGGTTATATTATAATATTTTTGTTTAGTTATTCCTAAAATTTTGCTTGAAGATGAAACGTGACTAAACACCTCAATTCAACTTAATTTTAATAATTATTTGGATGGTTTCGGCTCTCGTTTTTGAAACATGGGAACTCTTATGTAGTGAAGGAATCATATTTTTAAACAAAAAAATATTATAATATATTATATATGTATGTATGTATGTATGTATATATATATATGTGTGTGTGTGTATGTGTGTGTGTATTATTTACTTTTTGACTATTGTCCTCATACCTATTGTTCTTAATGTAACATTTCACCTATTGTGCACTTCATTAGTTGTAAGTCATTCCAAGTAACCTACAGAGAACTCTGAATGAGAACAATCTGCCCTTGTAGGTTTAATAATAGTTTCACCTTTGATTAAATCTATGAGGGTACATTGTTCTCATTTCACTGCCCATGTCTACAGATGTATAGTTCTTGTTTTTAGTACTCCTCAGTTATTGCTCACCCCTTTTTCCACTGAATCCGAGCACACACTGCTTGGCTCACAAATTCAAGTTATTGCGTATCATTTTTCCTGCAGCAGCTTGGCTTTCTAGATGTTGACATCCATATTATCATTTGAATCCCTGACTCACCCACACTCTTTTCTACATAGGCTGCATGAAATATTAGGCTGGATGTCATATAGGCAGACAGTGGTATTTCTATGATGTAGTTTGTGGCTAATAATGCCTGCCTTTGAAATGCAAATATATAAAATATATGATATAAATATAGTTTTAAGATATACTATATTTCTAACTGATTATGTGACTAAAGTTTTCGGGTTGATGTTTTAGTTTTGTAGAAATTTGTGGTGTTGGAAACAAAAACTAACTCTAAAATGTTTGGTACATAATATCTAAACATATTGTAAACCAATTAAAGATGGAATTTTTGAAATTCTGGAATCATTATAACATTCAGAATATTATCCTCACATTTGTTCTACTCTCCAACCTTCTACAGGTGTTCTGTTATACACAGTGACGTTCTCAGAATTTTTAAATTTTGTATGCTTTATTTAATCCATAAGGGAAACAAATATGTTTTAACAAATGCTTTAATCTATGTGGCAAGGTGTTTCTTAAAGCATATCTGGTGCCCTGGGAGTTGTGAGTTCAATACCTGGGTTAGTAATGTAGTCTGGTTTAGTTGAAGAAATGGGTAAGCAACATAATAGACAAAATAAACTGGGTATTATAAACTGATATGAATACCAATGAGGAAAACTCATTAAAACAATTGCCATGAAAACATTTATTAAAAAAAACAAAAAAAAAACAGAGGGAAAACCATTGTCATGGTTGTGGAAATGTGACTGAAGTTGAGATGCCAGGTCAGGACCAATAATATTATAGACTCTTCTTTATAGTTTGACAATAATCTCAAGATATAGAACTGAAGCCCCAAACCACATTCCAGCAATAATGAATGCATAGAAATTTTAAAAAGGTTTGGTTCAATATTCTGAGAAGGTTATCAACTATGACTGACACCTGAAAAAAGGCTGTAGAATACAATGGCTGAATGTATAAAACCTGTTCAGATATATCTAAACTGTTGGATCTTGACAACTGCTTTCTAAGATGAATGGTTAAAATAGCTTTGAGGGAGCAAAACCTGTGAGTCTTGATGAAGACCATATTTCTTCAATTTTTATGGACTTGTGCTACACAATCACAAACAACGAACTGTACTAAATAGGACTACCAACAACAGCTAAAATGGATATCACATATAACTTGAATAAAAAATAATGACATAATCAATATGTTGACATTCCACACTATGTCAAATAAAAGATTAGGAAAGAAACTTCCATCAATAATGGATAACAGCTACTGAACATGAGAAACCTATTTTCCTGAGAAAAAAGTTTTATATATTTTCACTGAAAGTAGTACTAGGTGCTCAGTCAATGAATGCTAAAGGTTTCCTTTTAAGCATAATACACTTTGATCCCAGTTCAATTGCCAGTAAGTGGAGAAAAGCAAATTCAGTTAGCAGTAGCTCCTTGATCAATTAATGCTGAATGTCTCCTTATAAGGAAACAGCTCATATTAGCATGACCATTAGAGATAAAAATGCATAATACACTTTGATCTTAGTTCAATTACCAGGAATTGGAGAAAAGCAAATTCACTTCACATTAGCTCCTTGCTCAATGAATGTCAAACATTTTCTTATAAAGAAACAGCTAATATTATCATTACGATTACTATAAACAATATTAAATATGTAGAAATTTTAAGTTAGTTTCTGAATCTTCTATTTTAATTGTTTATTCTCTATTTTATCATAGTTTAAATGTTTTATTTTCTGTATTTCCTATATTTATATTAATTATAAATTTCACTTTTCATATTAATTCAAGATTATCATTTTTTCTTTTTAAGATTTTGTTCATTGTTTATTTACTAAATTATTTGTATTTATTTTATTTATTTAATTAAATGAATAATTTTCATTAATCATCTTTTAATTTTAACTATCAATCCCAAAATAGGAAAATCACAACCTCCCCCCCCAAAAAAAAAAAACAGAAAATCAATTTTTCTCTTATTCTGTTATATTATCATTAATACATTCTTTGTAAATGTTTCTTTTTAGGTTTTTAAAAGATGGCAAAACTGTATTGATTCCAGATTTCTTTCTCCCTTATGGTCTGGGCATGCGAGAATGTCCAGGTCAGGCCCTGGCTACATTGGAAATCTTTCTCTACTTCTCTCATATTCTACATCACATGATAATCCGTTCTGCTGATGATACACATTCCTTCTATATGGAGGGAGAGTTAGATTCGTTTCTCCATCACAAACCAAAGCCGTTCCTCATCAAAGCCATTAAAAGAGAAGACTAATTTCAAAGTAAGTGATCTGCATTTACCACAAGCTGCATGAACCCTGGGGAAATGAGAAATTGCTATAGAATTCATGTTAAATTTATTTCTTTTAAATGTAATTCTAAAATTATTTCAAAATTTGAGAAACTGAATGGTTTTGTATGATTATTAACTAAGCTTAAATCTAACAAAAGGCCAGAATATTGAGGTAGCCATTGGGCATCATATTCAGTATATTCTGAATTGTTTTCATAGATAGATTTGTTAACTATCAAACTCTGGTAGTTGTCCAGATATTCACTCCATATAGTTTAACCTGATACAAGTTCATTCTAGAGGGGCACTCATTTAGGAACAAACTCGTTAAACACATGCATATATACAGTGCCTTCTTTAATATATTAAAATGTATATTTATTTTGTTGCTTTAAATTAAACATGTTCTGAAGTTTTTAAAAAAATACTTCAGCAAGATTTGATTTGTTTTTTTTATAGATTCATTAATTCTGTATTTTCTCCATTCATATTGAATGGTTTTACTTTCGACAAAGTTCCTTGCCTTGAATGCCATATAGGACTCAAGTTCACCCCAGACCTTAAGGGGAATTTATATATTCAATCCATTGCTAAAGATGCTGGATAAATGGTTGGTTCCTTGTACAACTTCAGAAAGTATCTGACTCCTGCTGCCATGCTCTATTTTTATAAAAGTCAGATTATTTTCACTTTTCAAACCCTTTTCCACAGATGAAATGTTGAAAGCATATTGTTTATTATTATTTTCATAGTAAAAGATCAGACAATTTACATCCTATCAATTCATAACTTTCATAACATAGCTAAGACACACCATAACATATACACAGGATCACACCCTCCTCATCCCCTTCATGTTCAATTTGTAAGAAAGAAGTTCAACTCAGTTTCTTCCTGAATACTGCTATTATATATATATATATATATATATATATATATATATATATATATATATTAAATAACCAAAAGCAAAATTTAGCATAATAAAGTATGTTCAGTAGATGTTCTTATTTCAAATTCTTGCTGACTGGTGATACTCATGCATTGTTTCCTGCTTCAACACTGATTTTGAATTCAGACTCTGCCAGTAACGTTTTTTAATTACATTTCAATTATCATTTAGAATACATTTTATCAAATGACTCTGAAAAAAAGGCCCAATGCAAGTGCTAATGCCAAGCATAAGGCTATATTGCTGGAAGACAAAGTGGAAATTAATTATTTTATCCAGAATACTCTATGTATTGCAATAGGCAATGGGAAGTGATTATTTGCAGTTTATAGTGTAGTTATTTCAACTTGTCATTTTTCAACCTAAGTCTTGATCTCTGGAACCAATTAATAATGTAAGCTTAGATATATCTGTATATGTTAGAAATGGGCAAAAACATCTTTCTGAGCCCAAATAGTATTATGCCAAGAGGGGTACTCAGAACATGAAATCACAGTCCAAATTGGTTGTAGCAAAGCTGTCATTCACAATGCAATCACCAAACTTATGGCTCTTATTCGGACTGAAATTAAAATGAACACCCCAAAGAAAAACCTCTAGTAATGATCATCTAATCAAATCTATCATTTCATAATCTCTGACAAATTCCTGGAAAAATCTTTGAACTATTCTGCTTCTCAGGAATAGATGAAGTTTATGGTACTGTTTCTCTCAGATTGGTCAAACAATTTCAACTAAGATCTGACAAACCTGCTCAAAAATCAAGAAATGAAAAGATGCACAAAAATTGTAGGAAGAACAATTGAAAAGAATCATGTTTTCTGATGAGTCCACACAATGGTGTTTTTGTACAAAAACATTGCGACAAGTTCCCCAGGAAAGAGACATTGATGAAAATTATACAACCTATGATACACCTTTCTAGTCATGGGGTTTGGTTTATATGTCCTGGATACTGGAACAAGTGTGAATGGCCACTGTAACTGGAACTATTGCAGGATAAAATAGATTTATATGCACATAGATGAATGCAGTATATTTCTGCTTAGTTAGTGTTCCATGCCACAAAGTAAGTAAATGAATATCTTCAGAAGGTTAAGGTTAGAATGGCCTGGCATGAGCTCTGATCTCAATCCCATAGACTGAGATCAGAGCCCAGAGTGAAATTATATGCAGACAAACAGCCCACCAATTTTAAGTGGATGCTATCATAGGGGAGTCATAACACTGATTAAATAATTATTACTCCCCTAACATTTATATATACAAAAGTACAAAATAAATATTATTTATTATCTGGTTGTAATGTGGTGTTGGAGAAATGAGAGATAGTAATACTGAGTAAAATTTTGAGTTTGGGGTTAAATGTAGATCAAATGTGGATCAGAATCTGACAGAAGGATAAGATAAAGATTAAGTAAAGTGTATAAAATATTTCTTGTATTTTTTATAGATGTGTGTAATGAGTGTCCAGAAAATTAAGTTGGAAAGATGTCTGGGGTTATCTTGCCTCAAATTTTTGTTGAGTCATAAAAGATAAATGTTACTGTTATGGCCTGAAAATGAAAAGGAACCAAAATTTTCATTGTAATTCATTAACAACCTGTCTGTGTGAACTGCTTGTCTGATAGTGAGAATGTCATGTGTTTCTGTGTGTGTAGAAGAGAAAAGTTGGATCGATTCTCATTGATTTAGAATTAGGGAATTAATGATAATTAGAATTGTTATAATTATTTTTGACGCATAATTAATTTTTATTTATTTATTTATGGACATGACATTATCAAGGACCACTGAGATTTCTGCAGAATATTGTCAGCATGTTTTGTTGCATTGAAGCAGTTATCAAGAAAAAATATATTAGTTGATCTTGAAATTAGAGTGAAATATTCTTATAATCATTGAGAATGAAATAGTTTTAAAATCATTGACAGTGAGATGATGTGAGTATGAAATCACGTTAATGTCATTGACATTGAAATAATGTTAAAATCCTTGAGAGGGAAATAATCCTAAAATCATTGATAGTGAAATAGTTTTGAAGTGATTGACAGAGAAATAATGTTAAAGTTTTTGAGTGTAAAATCATGTTAATGTCATTGTGATTGAAGTAATGATATAATCATTGAGAATAAAATAAATTTAATATCATTGGAAATAAAATAATACTAAAATCACTAAGAGCAAAATAGTTTTGAAGTCATTATGTTTGAAATACTTTTAAAGTTGTTATCAGTGAAATAATATTAAATTTAGGGATAATGAAATAATGTTAACGTTTTTGTATAATAAAAGACAAAAACATTTGTATTCCAAGTTTGAAAACTTTCATCATGAAAATACAACTTTGGTAATTGTTCGTTTTTTCTTTGCTGCCACACTTTATTGTCACTATAAATTCATATCTACTCTCAATATAAATGTAATAATTTAACTAAATTAAATTTTTACTTGATCTAACCCGTGATATCATAGTTATATTAAAATATTTTCCAATTTTTCATATTTTTTCAGATGATCAGTTGCATCTTTCATCAACATGCTTACGACTGGAGTATTCAAGATTGAAAAACTGTGATATGAGATGACCATATTGATCTGAGTTCACACATTTAAATTTTTATCAAATAATCTTTACAAGTATACAAGTTTGCAATTTGATGAGCATTTTATTCTTGTGTGAATATCAATTTAAATGATTTTTATTATGGATCCTTTAAAAGAAAACATTTAAAAATTGTACTTTTTTCTTACAGTAATAATTTATCATATAGAAACTCACTAAGCTTTGCTTAGTCCAGCACAAAACTAATGAAAATAGTAAATATGAAATTAGCTCTTTCCATCTGTGAAATATTAGGCATTCTTTGACAGAATAGTTAGTGTTAATGCCAGTTGAAATTTTCAAAATCTTTCTCTTAAAACTTCTCAAGTCCACTGTTATGGCTCTTCTAGTATTGCTGGAACATTTTTGTTTAAGGTAGAGTGTAAAATCAACATCAATATCATTATTTTCCTTTCTAGTTACATGTGCTATCCATTTTAGTTGTTGCTGCGGTTGGAATTTTTCAAGTAATGTGGATTTTGTTATTTGGTAAATCTCTCTGTAATTCTGTAGCACAAATCTACAGGATCTGAATACAATACAATATCTGACACTGAGAGTTTTTTAAACATTACCAACTATATTTACCTGGTGTCCCCATAAAGACTGGATATGACACAAAATCATTTTAACCCGGGAAGTGCATATGCATGTACTTATGCATATGGGTCAAAGATAAATATTGGTTTTTGTCCAGCCACCACATCCATTGTCATGCTGGCATTGGTATTATACTGATCCAGGCTCTTTAATGTAATGAGAAAGATGTTGCCACAGGTTTGGAATCCCCATGACTGAACAACTTTTCCTATCTAAAATGAAGAGAAACAGAGCTCCACTTAAAGCACATGGGTGATAACCCTACCTCAGTAAAACTTCACTGGCAACAGTTAACTCCTATTTTCAGATGATTTAATGTTGACTGAATGAATATTACACTATATATTAGTTGTTTAGTGTTCAGTGGCAACAACCCTTCATCGGTTCCTATATGATTCATTGATTTGATTCATTTACTTGAGACCATTTATTTAGCTCTTTGATCCAAGAAAATGGCTGGGTACAGATGATACTTTATTTGGATGACATGCTTGACATTCATATGCGAGTCTAGATTTAACAAGACTATTTTAAGAACATGACACAGACATGACTTAGGTTAATGTTTTGGTTTTACAGTATCTTAAAGTGTTGGATAAAACTACCCCAAGAGCAATTTATTTTCTGTTCAATTTCCTTACCTCCTATATAAATCAAACTTTATTACTGAAAACGTAAATAAGAGATTACTTGATGTTTTGGTTGGTGGTTTTTATCATAGTGTTTTTGCCATTTGTACAAACCTGGAAAAAGTTAGAATCCTCAATGCTAATTTCCAAGGTAACTATTTTATGCCCCTCAAACTAGAAAGACAATCACAGCATA